GTCTGATGAGGAGCAGCTGGAGAGGAGGCTCGGGCAGACCACATCACCCTCTACAACTGCCTGAAAGGAGGCTGTAGCCAAGTGGGAGTTGGTCTCTCTTCCCAAGTAACAAGTGACAGGGGAGGTTTAGATTAGATATTAGAAAATATTTACTCACTGAAAGGGTCATCAAGTATTGGAATAGCTGCCCAGGGAGTGTGTGCAGTCACCAGACCTGGAGGTGTTCAAAAGACATGTGGATGTGGCACCCGGGGACATGGTTTAGTGGTGGGCTTGGCAGTGCTGGGTTGATGACTGGAGTCAGTAACCTTAGAGGTATTTTCCAACTTAAATATTTAATTTTATTTTTCTAATAATCAGGGTTGCTCCATAGAATGGGGTTGGGATTTCTGTGGCCATGCTAAACTCCTGCACAAGCAAGGAATGTGCTGGAAGTATGGATGAGGCCCTTCAGAAGAGGTCAATGAAAAAAGCTGCCTCCTAAACAGGAGTAGAGCAGTGCAGGCAGAAGAACTGCATAGCAAACAATAATTTCTGAAAACTGTGCACACTTTCTAGTCTTCTGTTTTACTCATGTAACCCTGACTCTGCTGGTTTGTCCCTGGTTCATTCTGTCTTGTTTGTTTTTTACCCTTGGTGTGCTTCATGCCTTCCCTACGGCCTGTCTTTCAGCCCTTTGTAAAACAGCTCTTTCTATTTTCTTGTTCTTTGCACATCTCACTCCCATGTTTCCCATGTTTCTGGATTTCTGCTTGGTTTTCTTCTTCCTCTTTTTCTCTCCCTGTACATGGTCTCACACAAAAAAAAGGGGGTTCACAAAGAACGCTAAATATTAAAGGCATTGAGTCATGAGCTAACTTATTCTTTTAGTTCAGTATTTTTAATCCTAGGGGAGCCAAGAATAAAGCCAGAGGATGATCCAACAAGCCATATGACAGGGATGGGTAACTAGCTATCATAAGCAGTGATGACCATCTGGACACACATGTGGATCCATCTTTAAGGGCATTTTGTGTTGACATAATCTGGAATCATCTTTCCAGCTGCAGCTGGAAAAGAGAGTATGTTTATTTAACTCATCCAGGATAACAGTTTTTTATATTTTGTCCTATTGATCTGACTCTGAGTAGTTCAGAGCTGAATTAAGGGTATCATTATGATATAGCTTAAAACACTCCTGGGATTTATTTCTTGATAATGGACTTCCTCAGCCAGGAAAGAGCATCATTTCAGGCACTTTCACATAAATCTGACATAGTTTTCCATTAGATTTGAGGGACTGCTCTTGCAGCCTTTCCAAACAGTAGAGCCGACTCCAGACCAGGATAACATGATTTGCTGCCCATGGAAATCTTGCTATCATTAAGTCACTGAGAGCTGGATTCATTGCACCTGATCAAGCAGCAATTAAAGATTTCTTACAAGTCCTAAGCTGTCTGACTGATTTAGCTACCAGGGAAGATGACCAGTGTTCCTCAAGGAAAGCACCCATCATCCTTGTTGGTGCCCTTGTACCATCCCCTTTCCAGCCCCTTTCACACCCTCCACTCAGCCACTGTCACAAATCACAACGTAACCCTCACTTGAGGACTGTAATCTGACCACTGATCACTTTGCTCCTTTTGTGACTGTAAAATCAACGGTCTCCACTGCGATGAATATTTACACTTTTAAATGGAAAATATTAGGTAAAAAATTGGAAATTTTCCAATGCCTAATGCTAATGTGCTGCATGTACAGTTGTGAATTTGTTGCCTGTTTTGATCAATTGGCCACTAATGAAGGTTACCAGCTTAGAAGAGGCCTCCCTTCCCCTGACTGATAGCCCTACTTCAATTTGTTCAAGGGCTTTGTTCAAAAGTAGAGAGACTAAGGAATAAGAAGCAGAACTGCTAATAGACTGAGATTTATAAAACATGACATTTTATTATATGTAATAAAATCAACCTACAAAACAAAGGCAAATATTAAATGATACAGTCATGCATTTTGTTATCTATGCAAATATTTTTAAACTGTGTCAGTTTTGATTTGGTCTGTGTAAGTTCTGGATGATCACATCCTTGGGAGAGAGAACATATTTCTTTTGCTCATAAGATCCACTTGTCATGTGAGTTATCACACAATCATATCTTCACCCACTTCCTTTAATGTATTTAGTTACATCTCTTCTAATACATCAGGGTGATTTTGCTTATTGGTGCATTTCATTGCTGTTACATTGCACACATTGGTTGCCATGACTTTTTTCTTTCAATTCTTCATTTTAATCAGCATTCCACGCATGTAACATCAGTCCTTCAGCTCATATAAAAACTAAATCCCAAGATATGCTTGCTTTTACAGTCTGTCAATCTTAGACACAAAATTTACTTTTGAACTTTCCCAATATTCAAGCGAGGCATGGCTCTGTGGGGTGTGATATATATACATATAAAAATATCTACAAAGCATTTCTAATTTCATAATCTATAACACTATAGATGTGTCCTCTAGCCTATGTCAAATTCCCTATGTCAAAACACATATAATTCTAGCTTATACCAGTAGTAAGGCTAAAGTTTAAATGTTTCTCTTTGTATCAACCTTGCTTCATTCCTACCTTTTCAAAATGATGAATAAAGAAAAGAAGAAAATATTAGTTAGTGTAGAGCAACTTTTGAAGTTAATATTATTGTATTTCACGAAGTCAGGAGCATGTACTTAAATGTGATACTGCTGCAATGTTGGGTAGAACAGACAGTTCTATTATCTCATTTTCACATAGTTCTCAAAGTTGCCACAGGGAAAAGAATGTGTTAGAATTCATTCAGTCCCAGAATTTGTCTGTCCTGAAGAACTACAGAGCTCAGCTAGCATGCATGGATGTCCAGAAGACTTGAAAGAGCTGGTTTGCTTGAGCAGTGATGGAGGACGCTGGTGGCAGATGTGTAATGGATGCACAGGAAAATAGGAAAATTAGCTGGGTTTTTTTCCTTCAGTTTGTGCTCAGAAATATGTTTCTTTACTTTCTCACTTTGGCATTTTTTAGTCCTTCATTCTACCATCGCTCTACCAGTATGATGATTCTTGGTTTGGTTTTTGAATTCCTTTTTTCCTCTCCTGTGACTCATCTCTTAAACAGAGTAGCATATTTCATTATCAGGCCATAATACCTGTGTTATACATTATCTTTTGGTGTCCTCCTTTCATAGTTTCTGGGGTAAAGGTCAGATTTTCTGCCTGCAGTAGCACAGAGTCCTGCTCTGAGGACTTGTGCATGTTCCATGTGGGTTTGGGATCCTGCCGAGACTGCTGGGCCAGGGCTGTGCAATGGATTTCCTGCACACGCTCTAGTTACAGTCTGTGTTGATAACTCTTGGAAAGCCCAAAATTAGTATTCTGGTCATTTAGTCACTTGATTGATGCATTCAGAACCACTCCACCAGGCTCCTTCCCTTCTCATCCTTGTAAAATCTTTTTTCATCATTTGCATTAGAAATCACAAGTTTGTCTCATTTTTGGGGGGTATTACAGGGTCTTTGCATTTATTTTAAAAATACATTTTGGATGGTCTCTGAGCTTACTTTTTTATTATCTGAAGAGTTGTTGCTAATGCCAACATTTCCTTGATTCCTGTGCTTTACAAATTATTGTACTTCCTATTCCTTTGAATATTTCTAACCATTGATCTTATCCCAAGAATCTTTCTACTTGCTAAAAGTACATATAGACTTTTCCCAGCCTCCTCTGACACTTGCCCTGCTCTCACCTTTTATGGTCTATAGCCCAGATAATGTACTCAGGGCTCAGAAGCCTGTTCCTATAAATGTCTCAGGTTAAAAAACACACCACACCCCAATGCCACAGCCCCAGCAGTGCCCCATTAAGTGTGGTCTGCTGTGCTGACTGGGAGACCTTCAGAGAATACCAGTGCACCTCTAGTCACAGGCACTGCAACTCTAAAATACATTGTTTAAGGGCACAGATCGCCCCATTCCTTTAAAGAGACAATTGTTTCAGCTGTAATTGTCCTTCACCACTTTCATATATGGATAGGAGATTGTTTACAACTCTGTTCTTTGTCATTTAGAACCTCTGAATTGACACAGTGAAAGTTGTTCATTCAAATTAATGTTTCTATTGGGCTCCCGCTGTTTTAAATGTTGCAGAAAATATGTTTTTCAAAATAGAAATTGGTTAATTTACCAGAAATAAGTTTTACTTACTATTCATAATTTAGAATATGGTTTTTTTTTTTTTGGACTTATATAATTCACACCACTAAAATTAATAGCCTCTTAAATTATCTTTTAAGCATTATATGATTTTCAATATATCCTTTTTAATCATGAACAGAAAAGTGCAATTACTATTCACTTCCTGATTTTCTCCTCATAACTACTACTTAGTCTGCATTAAGCCACTCCAAATGGGAGTCCTTCATCAAGCAAAGGAACAATGTCTTTTGTGACTGAAAATCATAATGATGAAATCCTGAATAGCACACACTTTGCTGTATAATCAGTTATAAAATGTGGCACATTATTTTTAGATACAGTACAGGAAGTTCAGCTGGGGCCAGTGGTCCCTCCCAACCCAAAATTGTTTGTGAACAGGCAAAGTGTCTTTTCTCACACTCCTTGCACAGGGGCCATTCCCAATTACTTCCCTGTGTTTCAATGCATCTGCCACATTTGTGGGGAGTCCCTCATCTTTCTAGCTCTGCCATGTGGACTAACTGGGTACTGTAAGAATACATTCACTCCCTCTATAATGTAGTGTAGCACCTATGTTTCCTGTTTACCTATCAGAGGGAGGAAGCACAGCGTCTTCCATGGTGAGTTTCATCTCACTAAATCTAGATGTGTGCAGCTTCCTTGACTTGAGGTGGGTTCCTTGCCTCCCTTTGCAGTCAGTGGAGAAGCAGGAATTTCTAAGACATAAGTCATTGCATCTCAACACAGACACCTGAAGTAAGTCAGACTAATTTCACTCTTGTTTTTTTCTCTATTGCCTAGAGGCAGTCAGACTTTTCATCAATTAGCTGGAGAACTTCATCCATCCCATTTTTTCTGGAAAATATTTGAACCAAGAAATTTTGAATCAACAGCTGCCCTGTCTTGGATGGAAAAAGGCACTCACTGCCTCTATTTAATGTGAGAAACAGATTTTGATAACAGCTTGGTGTTGGGTACATTTTGACTTCCCAGAAACTACATGTTTTATCCATCATGCACCGTGTCTGCAAAGTGATCCTGTCGCAGAGATGGGTAAGACTGTTCTGACCTCACACTTCTGGAGCCCTGGGAATGTCTCAGAGCCCTTCTGTGTCACAGTGGCTCTAGAGCCACCAGATATCACTGCCAAAATGTGCCATATTTTCCATGTTGTGCTAAAAAATCCAGCCAGAAATGTGTCCATTTCCTGTTCTGAAACCTGTTTATAGAGGATAACTTTCTGTTGGGTTTCTTTTCTGAGGACTATTCCCCTTTCCTGATAAAACTGGTACACTCAAAGGTCTGAAAAAAAATCCTTTTACTCCAGATTTTTAATGCAAATGTCTAATTTGGAGTTGAACTAGAAGAGAATGCTTAAATGGACTTCCCTCTCCCACCAGCCCTTTTCCTTAAACTTTTCCAAGCCAAGTACTCAGGTATTTGTCTGGGTATTTTGATGGAGGAAAAAATGATGGGAAAATTTATCTCTGTCTGGTCACAGTTTGAAAGTTTAAGTAAAGATGTATTTCACAGGAAAGGAACCAGAACAGAAAGCAGCTCAGTGAGCATCAATGCCACTGTGAGCTAATTGAGACTATAAATGAGCAGTGGTGGCTTTTCTGGAATATTCACTTTAGTGAATCTGTTTCATCAGGTAGGTCAGGAACAGGGGTCATTCAAGACTGGGTCATTAAAATCACAGTGTAGGAAATTCCAGGTAAGGACAAACTGTGGAGACTGAGCCTCTTATTTTTGGAGAGGCAATGGAGGAGCATTTATTTGACTGTTTTTACAAGACCAATCCCAGTGTAGATATAAATTCCACTGGTAACTACATGAAACTGTTTCTTCCTAGGCACGTTATCTTTTTAGTACATATTCAATAGCTCTTTATTGTCATATTTTTCTCATTTTGTCTACATATTTTACCTCCTACAGGCTATTGAAACCACACACTGGAGACAGAAATATTTGCTTCTTCCCATGATGCCTATGTTATGTGAGATCTGTTAATGACTCGTATTTTTTGTATACCCAGTAAATGAGTGGGGATCCACTTTCCAAAGAAGGATCTGAGACACAGCTATTAGAGTTAAAAACATGCATTAATTTTGAGTACCCAATCAGAGATACTTTCCACCTTACTTTTTCAAAGCCTTATATAGCAAATTCAAGCAACAAATCTGAGTGTTCAGTGTTTTGATAGACCTGATCACAGAGTTTCATATCACATATCACAGAAAATGAGGAACATCTTGACCATATGTGAAAAGCTCACTGTATGCCTTGAATGCCCTTGCACAGGAACATGGTGGCAGAGGCAATAATTGTAGCTGATCCTCCACAGCATCACTTGGCCATTCTTTTTTCCTCCAAGATGTTCTTGCAACTCCTCCAACTATCTTTAATAAATGTGTCTGAGATCTTAGAAGGAGCCATCTTCTCTACTACATATCTGATATTTATGCCTTGAGAAGTTTAATTGTGTTTTGACTGAGTAGGTGACATTAAGCCAAAATGATAAGTAATCATATAATTGAAGACTTCAAAATAGTGTTCAAGAGAGCTGTAATCCCACTGCACTGACAAGCTGAATTCTAGCATTCCTTTGTTCTGAAGCATTTTCCACTCCATTTGTTCACAGGATATTGTTCCCATCATGGCTGGGTACTGTGGTTGGATCCACTGCAGCACCTCAGTTGCAGCTCCTGGACTGGCTCCTGCCCTACATACGTCACCACAGCCTGGTGGGACACCCTGGCCATCATCTCACATTTGTTGGCTTGAAGTACAAGATGGGTGCAGCTGAGATCCTCAACCCTGACTGATGCTGTGGGGGGTGTCTGACTCCTCCCAATGCCCAGTCTCCTCACACAGTCACCATTTCTTCCTGACCTGGCTTTCTTTTCCCTGCTCCCTCTTTCAGCCTCAGTGTAGCCACACTGATGTTTCCCATCCTTGACTCAGCCCAGGCTGATCTGGACCTGTAAGGGGATGAATTCTTTTGTTGTTACACAGGGAATGAGACACAGGGACTGGGACAAGTGGCTTCACAGAGTAGCTGTTACAGAGTGAATATTCAAAGGTGAAGAAATCATTAAGACACAGTTCCCAAGACCCTGAGCCACAGGGCCTGGATTACAGCTGATTAATCAACATTGCTTCATAGTGCTTAATACTGAAAAACAAATTATCTTTTTGTCTTTTTTAGGATTTTTTCCTAGTTGTTTTCTTCATTCTCAGAAGTGGCTCATCTACTTTGCCTGAAACCTCTGAAAAATATTTAGCTTAGGGTGGGCACATAACACTGACATTTAGAGCCTGAAGCATTCATATCTGACAAAGTTAAAAGCAACTGAAAACAGGATATTGTAATAGGAAACAAAATAGGAATACCAAACTTAATAATAAGCTCTATCACCTCTGCCTATTGTAATGAATGACTCAGAGAAGGTAATTCAAAGGACTCTCGTTTGCCCTTTCTCAGAAGACGAACAAGGCAACATTAAATGAAATGCAAAGGCTAAAGGGAAATACTTCTCAGAGAGAATGCAGCACCTGAAATTCACTGTCAGGTGATAATGCTGAGAACAAGAGTGCTGCCATTCACAGAAGAATCAGTTCCACATAATAAGAATACCTGCAATTGATTGATAAGACACATTCATAGAGAACATTTTTCTTTATGCTTGAGGACATGGCAAGTGCTAACTGCCTGAAGAAGAACTTTTCCTAACAGATTATGTGGCCGCTGGGATTATCAGATCTGCTTCTCCAAAGTATTCAGCACTGCAGTTGAACATGTTTCAGCTATGAAGTATTCAAAACTACCAGTTCATTCACGCAGACCTAAGCAGTCCTCTCAGCCAGTGATAGATGGGTGGAGGGGTAGGGTTTTGGGGTTTTTTCCAACCTAGGAGCAATTTAAAGGGAGACAAGTTGCTCTGCTGAAATGATGAAACATGGATCCTCTCATGAATTAAATAATTGCAGTTTTAATATCAACATTCAGTGTTCCCAGAACAGATTAAAACCACAACTATTTATTTAAAATATAACCTATTTCCTTGATCAGCATCTAACCAATGTTTTAAATTGAAACGTATGTCCTTTTCATCAGACATTGCATGATATATTTCAAAGGAAGAAACGTCAAAACCACCTTTCATAGCAAATGTCTAAAGGCAACACACACTTTGACTGCGAACTTGCCACCAGCTATTTGCTGTCACTTATCTAACATACTATTGAATACATACTACTACATCATACGTGTCATCAGTGCTACAGATGACTAGTAATAAAACATACAGTATGATTTCCCTTACAAGCTGCTCTGCCTAGTCTGATATGATGGAAATGTACAGGAATTTTGTTTAGAACTTATTCTTCAGATAGATCTCATTGTATTTGTTCAATAATGAGCCTTGTATAAGCAACTTCATTTCCTCTGAACCACAACAGCTATCACACACTAAGTGTGAATTCATTATAGATTCACTCACCATTGTCAAATTGTAACATATATATTCTTTCATCTAGGTTTTTTTAAATCAAGTAAATCACTAATTACAACGAAAAGTGCTACAGATAGTCTTATTCTTAAAAGAAAGAAGTTATTCTGTAGGTTAGTTTAAATCAGTATTGTCTCAGCAGTTCCAGCTGGGATGGAAATAATCTGAATAATGAGTTTGTCTCACTAGAATATCTCAGTGTTCTGGTAGGCTTCAAAAATAATACTTGTATATAACTCAAGTTATATATAAATAATATAAATATTACCAAACTATCACTTTATTCTTGTCATGAGATTAAAAAAAAATTTAAAACCACAAATTAACCAAAACCAAAAACACAAGCAAAAGTGAAGAAATATCTACATATCTGGGATTATTCATATAGTTTTAGATTAATCAAACTTTTATGTGTGATTTTGGTCAAAAACTGATAGAATCATAAAAAATCCTGAGCCAGATGGGACTCACAGGAATCACCAAATTCCAGCTGCTGGCCCTGCACAGGACAACCCCAGGAATCAGTTCCCATGCCCGAGTGTTGTCCAACTATTTTGTGAATTCTGGCAGGCTGTGCACTTCAACTCCAGCACTAGCTCCAGTGCCCAGCCACTCTCTGGGTAAGAACCTTGTCCTGTGCCCAGCCTAGATCTCTGCTGACACAGGTTCCTGCTTTTTCCCTGGGTGTGAATCGGAGCAGTTCATGTCTCTGTCACAGCCCCTGCTTCTCCATGTGCTGGGGCACAGGGCTCCTCAGTGTAGGGCAAAACTCTCCTTCTCTGAGCCAGAAATGGCCTCCTGCTCCTGATTTTGACAAGATGTGCAAACAGGATGGAGCAAGCAGAACCAGTGTGTGCTGTGTCTGTGTGCCTGCTGCAATCTGGAAATGAAATCAGCACTGAAATTGTAAAAAATGTTTAAACACCCACAATTAATAACTTAAAGGCACTCAGGGGAAAAAAACAAACTTGTTCCATTTATGGGGTATTTACAGGACTCTTTTCATGTCAGAATCTACTGTTCCAAAAAAAGCAAATAACTTGCCTTATCTATTTATTCTTCCAATGGGGTTTTCTTGGGGGTTTTATTTGGTTTGGATTTTTTTTTTTCTGCACTGAATAATCAGTGTAGTAATTCAAGTCACTGAAGCAAAGCTGAGTAAGTGCAGCAAGGAGGTTGAGACTACAAAAATCTTCTGCTGGGCTACATAAGCACGAACAATATGGGTACCACTTCACTGCTATTTCATGTCACCTGGTGTCACCCTCAAGTCTAAATTATTTGGGATTTTCTTTAATTGGCAGTAAAGTCAATTGAATTTTTAAAATTTTAGTTATATTGACATTTAATTATTCATTCTAAGGGTATGATACAAAATATCTG